GTAGTTTATCTATGGTAATAAATAAGTTATTGCCCCTTAATAAGACTAATCTCCATTACACCTAATGCTATTTCATTTCTAGCTAAAAACGTATCTTACTCTGTAATAAACTAGGTTGATTTTATTTCGGATGGATATGTTATCAGATATAACGCTCCTTAATACGGAGATATTTGCATTGGCAATAAAATCATTCCTAATAAAGTGAGCTTGTCTCCGTATTCATGTATACTGTTCTTTTCTTATTCCATTTTTCATATTGGAATTTTCTTTTACAATGATATCAGTGTATTATTATTATGATTATTATTATTATTATTATGATGATGATGATGATGATGTTGATGATGATGATAATGATGATGATGATTATTATTATTATTATTATTATTATTATTATTATTATTATTATTATTATTATTATTATTATTATTATTATTATAATTATACCAGACTTTTTAAAAACAAGCGAAAACATCATACACAATATATTATCAAACTTAAATAATATTTGAAACAGATACAAATAGTTTAAATATTACATTAAGATAATTAAAATTGAGATATCAGATAATAATCATACCTAAAATAAAGTCGTAACACAACCAATATATTAAGTGAAAGCAAAATGCAATTGTTGCTTAAGAGTTTATAAAAGAAGCAATATAAAATATATACTCTTACATACATATGTCGTTATATTTCACGCTGAAATATTGAGAAATATTAATGACATTATGTGCGTATTTTCATTGTCCGTTTTGTTTTTCAGTGTAAGAAAAATTTTCACTGCAGTTAAACATATTTTCCGTATTTTCACTGATGTCTTGCAGACATATTTATTCTAAATTCACCTAATACACAAAATCTAAGTGGAAATATTTCAAATTGTAAGGTCGAAAATAAGAAAAAATGTATATAATAAACAGAAAAATATATTTTTGTAAATAACAAGCAATTATCATAGTATTGCAAGCAATCCATAAGTCCCCTACCGGTTAGAACCTCATCAACATTCTGAAGGGCCATTGGCCATTCACTAATGTTTCAATTTTTCTCTATTTTAAGTAAATTTGTTGGAAAAGTTCTTTAAAAGTGATCACAGGAAACAGTTTTTATGAACAGACAGACGGACTGAAGGACACTCTAAAGTTAATATTTGAAACATCCCTGTTACCAAAATATAAAATTTTAAAAGCAAAATTCTTAAAGAGGAGATAACTCTTGAATTAAAGATGCAATTTCATAAAAATTTTCAGCTCTTTTGACTAATCACAAATATTGTTTTATTTGCCATGTTTTAAGCCTATTTGTTGCCAAGGCAACTGATATTTTATCAAAATAGGAAGAACGGATAAGACATGCATAATCTCAAGACTGCTATCTACCCATATGTCAAGTTTCATAAAAATATTTCCAGTACTTTTTGAGTTATAAACTGGATTCAGTTTATGTGTAAAATTTGCCATATTTTCAGTCTATGTGTTGCCATAGCAACCAGAATTTTCAACATAGGAAGAAAAGAAAAAGACATGCATAATCTCAAGACTGCCATCTACCAATATGTCAAGTTTCATAAAAATATTTCCAGTACTTTTTGCGTTATCACTGGATCCAGTTTATGTGTAAAATTTGCCATATTTTCAGCCTATTTGTTGCCATAGCAACCAGAATTTTCAACATAGGAAGAAAAGAAAAAGACGTGCATAATCTCCATACTGCCATCTATCCATATACCAAGTTTCATAAAAATATTTTCAGTACTTTTCAAGTTATCGCGGGATCCAGTTTATGTGTAAAATTTGCCATATTTTCAGCCTATTTGTTGCCATAGCAACCAGAATTTTCAACATAGGAAGAAAAGAAAATAACGTGCATAATCTCCATACTGCCATCTATCCATATACCAAGTTTCATAAAAATATTTTCAGTACTTTTCAAGTTATCGCGGGATCCAGTTTTGTGGACGGACGGACTGACGGACTGACAGACGGACAGACGGACGGACGGACAGACGGACGGACGGACAGACGGACGGAGGGTAAACCTAAAGTCCCCTCCGGTAAACCGGTAGGGGACTAATTACAGGATTTACTTTCATCTTGTGGTATGATATTATCATATTTGATAACCTTGTAACATGATACTCATATATGTGTATAGAATAAGAGAACAATAGCTCATTTCCGATATGAAATGTTGTTATCAATAGACGGCTTACTTTCACAGCAAAAGGTTAAAATATGATAAACAAGATCAGATCAACAAGGAAATGCGGCGTTCAATGAACGCAACCCCCACACGATAGCAATAGTCTGACAAATATGTAAAATGATATACAGACATATTAATCATTCGGAAAGAACTATTTGGAATATTTTCTTTTGACATCATAAAAATCGTATTATTGAATATATTTTATTACAGATAAAATTAATGACATGGCACGACATCGTACTTCAATATAAAAAATGTAAGATATCATTTTTGTTATAAACGCATTATTTGTTCAGCGTCGAGCAATACTTACAGACAGAATATCCTATTCAACCTTTTATTTAGTTACAAGATTAAACACTTACCCTGTGATAGCTTGTACAAAGCAAAGTGTTTGATGTTAAGTGGGAATACAAACTGCATATAAATCATCATGCCGAATGATACTTCATTGTCATATAGTATTAGGAAGTAATAGTAACTTCTTCAGAAATATTTTACACCGCAGCAGGAAAATGCAATTATGAACACCAATTTTGAATCAATTGAAGTGTTACTTGCTTAAGTGTTAGTTATCTGCTCTTGTAAAAAACCTTAAACAAACAAAACCTGTCTTTCAGGAGATTAAAACGGTAAACCAAAGGTTTGACTTTCATGAATTTGTTTCAATTGAGAAATCTTTACACCAGGAAATGTTTTAGAAAAAACTATATTGACTGCTTAAGTTTTAATCTTCTACAGATACGGGCCTTTATCTTCAATGAAGTTTTTAACAATAAAAAAGACATAAAATCAGTTTAAGTAAGTCGACGTTTATGAAATACCGTATTATCTGGAAAAAAATAATATTTTGTTTCTCATCAATGTACTTTAGCTTACATGGAAACTAATTACCGTATAAGTAGTTTTTTTCTGCGGTGACTTTATTTCTGCGTTTTCTGCAGTCAGTTTCGGCACCGTAGAAATAAAAACCGCAGAATATTTATCTTACCTGCTACGATATGTATCCTACATTGTGACCTGTTTCGTCTAAAGTAATAACGACAAACATATTATAACGGTAAGCGGGATTTCAAGTTGTATAGAAATCGCTGTCGGCTAAGTATGTAATGTGTGTTTGTAAGGATGTACTTATTGTTAATTATGCTAATTTTAGAATAAAGATATTTCAAACCATTCCAATCCTTAAACTGCTTAATAATCGTTGTTTACTTTAATTGTCATCGGATACGATACGGTAAACTTCTATCGTTTTCATTCAATTAAAGAACATACAACCGGGGTATATTTTTCACACGTTACTTCACGCTGATCAAAGATGTATACCTTACTATTGTTGTTTGCAAGCAAACAATATAATTGTTTGTAATTACTATACAGTTTTGCGGTGACGACGAAGAACAAATGCGAACGTGTACATGCAGATATAATAGATGGGTAATGTGACTTAGACTTTGATATGACGAGTCGCAGAATTTAAATCATGTTCTGTCCAAAGAATGTGCCGCAGAAATAAAGTCCGCAGAAATAAAAACATGCCAAAATTTGGAAAAACCACAGAATTTGGAGCCCGCAGAAAAAAACACTTATACGGTATTTTGTTTTGTTTAAACGGAATTAAATACATATAGCAACACAGAATAACAAGTGATTATGGACTGCGTAGAATACCATACTCCTTGAATTAATCATAGCATTACTCGAACCTTTATAATTATGGGGGAACAATAGATGTGTCTTCATTGTAACATTTTACAATAAAAACACATGTTATATGTCTTAATCGAATATTATTAAATAACGTATTGTCTTGAAAAAGACATAATGCGATAAAGATAGACTTATCTATTAATTAAATATAATCATCTTGAATTCGGATACATTCGTGACAATTACAGAAAATTTTGAAATACTTTGCAAAATAATCTTTTAGAATTGACATACATTTCTTTAAAGTGCGAAAGACAAAATGTACAAGCAGGTTGCTTTACTCATCATGAGAAAATACCAAATATAAATTCAACAAACATGTGTAGTAATATTTTGTTTAAAATACAGAAAGTTGAATAAATCATCATGAACATTCATCGGTAAACAAGGTAGAGTAGGTATTAAAATGAAGCATATTTATATGCGTGTGACTCAAAGGGATATCATATAGAAAAAAAGTAAATACAGGATTCAGGTTCAGTTTGTTTAAGCCTGTTCGTGGACGGATGAGGTAAGCGCAAGTCCCTTAGTACCGTATTTAATAGACTAAGTATGAAAGCTGCGATAACTAGATACGTTTTGTCAGCAGACAACGTACTTTTCTCAACATGCAAATAATTAAGAAAACTTATTTGGCAAAACACTAAAACGATATCTAGGCATATTGATAATTTGGAAAGAGCTAGCTACGTCTTTGCAATATTGTTTTTGACTCAACATGTTGTTTTTGAGAGATAAAATGATCACTCTTCCTCATATTTCATTTTGTTGCGACGAAGTGTGCTGTTGTTTGCATGTCAATACACTATTTTCATTTTTAAATCTATTTAACGAATAATATCCTTGGTTTAAACAATATAAACTAGAACTGCCACTATCATGGCGTGAATACCCCCGCATACCACTTTGTCAGAATCAACAGTGGCCATTTAGAGCTCAAGGACAACCTCCCTGCCAAATCTGAGGTTACTAAGCCAGTGCATTGCTAAGTTATGTATTCTACATGCTTCAAATGTGAAAATGTCAAAATCAATACATTGCGGACAGGACATTCTTTAGCAATTGAGAAGAAAAGCTTTTTTTATGTCAAGGTCCCTGTGACCTTGACCTCTGACCCAGTGACCTCAAAATCAATAGGGGTCACCTTATAGTCATGATCAACATCCATGCCAAATATGAAGACTGTGGGTCAAAGGAATCTTAAGTTAATGGGTGGACAAACTTTTTGAAGTCAAAGTCCCTATGACCTTGACCTTTGATCCAGTGACCTCAAAATCAAAAGGGGTCATCTACTAATCATGATCAACATCCATGCCAAATATGAAGACTGTGGGTCAAAGGAATCTAAAGTTATTGGGCAGACAAACTTTTTGAAGTCAAAGTCCCTGTGACCTTGACCTTTGACCTGGTGACCTCAAAATCAATAGGGGTCATCTACTAATCATGACTAACCTCCATTCCAAATATGAAGACTGTGGGTCAAAGGAATCTTAAAATATTGGGCAGACAAGCTCTTTGAAGTCAAGGCCCCTGTGACCTTGACCTTTGACCTGGTGACCTCAAAATCAATAGGGGTCATCAACTAATCATGACTAACCTCCATGCCAAATATGAAGACTGTGGGTCAAAGGAATCTTAAGTTATAGGGCGGACAAGCTTTTTGAAGTCAAGGCCCCTGTGATCTTGACCTTTGACCTGGTGACCTCAAAGTCAATAGCGGTCATCTACTAATCATAACTAACCTCCATGCCAAATATGAAGACTGTGGGTCAAAGGAATCTTAAGTTATTGGGCGGACAAGCTTTTTGAAGTCAAGGCCCCTGTGACCTTGACCTTTGACCTGGTGACCTCAAAGTCAATAGGGGTCATCTACTTATCATGACTAGCCTCCATGCCAAATATGAAGACTGTGGGTCAAAGGAATCTTAAGTTATTGGGCAGACAAGCTTTTTGAAGTCAAGGCCCCTGTGACCTTGACCTTTGACCTGGTGACCTCAAAGTCAATAGGGGTCATCTACTAATCATGACTAACCTCAATGCCAAATATGAAGACTATGGGTCAAAGGAATCTTAAGTTATTGGGCGGACAAGCTTTTTGAAGTCAAGGCCCCTGTGACCTTGACCTTTGACCTGGTGACCTCAAAGTCAATAGGGGTCATCTACTAATCATGACTAACCTCAATGCCAAATATGAAGACTATGGGTCAAAGGAATCTTAAGTTATTGGGCGGACAAGCTTTTTGAAGTCAAGGCCCCTGTGACCTTGACCTTTGACCTGGTGACCTCAAAATCAATAGGGGTCATCTACTAATCATGACTAACCTCAATGCCAAATATGAAGACTATGGGTCAAAGGAATCTTAAGTTATTGGGCGGACAAGCTTTTTGAAGTCAAGGCCCCTGTGACCTTGACCTTTGACCTGGTGACCTCAAAATCAATAGGGGTCATCTACTAATCATGACTAATCTCCATGCCAAATATGAAGACTGTGGGTCAAAGGAATCTTAAGTTATTGGGCGGACAAGCTTTTTGAAGTCAAGGCCCCTGTGACCTTGACCTTTGACCTGGTGACCTCAAAATCAATAGGGGTCATCTACTAATCATGACTAACCTCCATGCCAAATATGACGACTGTAGGTCAAAGGAATCTTAAGTTATTGGGCGGACAAGCTTTTTGAAGTCAAGGCCCCTGTGACCTTGACCTTTGACCTGGTGACCTCAAAATCAATAGGGGTCATCTACTAATCATGACTAACCTCCATGCCAAATATGAAGACTAAGGGTCAAAGGAATCTTAAGTTATTGGGCGGACAAGAAAAAACCGACGGACAGCCGGACGGCCGGACGGCCGGACAGCCGGACAGCCGGACGGCCGGACAAGCTGATTCCAGTATACCCACAACTTTGTTGTGCGGGGGTATAATAAACAATTAATAATATATAATATGTTTTTATATCATACATATGAGGTAAATGTTTATAGGCCGGAATCTTAAAGATGTAAAACAAGTGTATATGGTGTCATAATATGGGCTGCGTAGAAAACCATATTGCTTGATTCAATCAAAGAGAATTTTCCCAACCTGAATAACTATAATGACAAAGATAAATATTATCTTTATTATTATCTGTTATAACAAAAAAAACATGCAAGTTTTCTAAGTCGTAGATTGTTAAATAACATATTGGTTTGTATGGATATAATTCGATCAAGAGAGATATATCTATTCATTGATATGATCGATCTCATTCAAGATATATTCTAGTCAATTGCTGTCTTTCGGTGTCAAAAGGTATCTTTACTAACTGATATACGAGGGGAAGTCAGAAAATAGCCAGACTTTTGACTCGTTCTCGAAAACCATTCAACATTTTAAAAAAAATCTTTCTACTCTTTTTCAAAATATTCTCCACCTACGTCTACGCACTTTTGCCATCTTCGTGAGAGCTTTTGTATTCCCGCTGTGAACTATGACGTAGACCTATGTTTTAGGTACCGTGTAACAGCAGATATCAAAGCCGCTCTGGTCTTATATTTCTTTCCAGCAAGCAATTTTTTCAGTTCTGGAAACAAATTAAAGTCACAGGGAGCGAGGTCTGGGCTATAAAGAGGGTGAGACAACAATTGCCATTTGTAAGAGTTGATTACCTCCACTGTAGATGCGGCGGTATGGGAGGGGCGTTATCGTGAAGGAGGACATTTTTCTGTGATAACCTGGGACGCATTTGCTTCAGCTTTTCTCTGAAATTTTTCAGAATTACTTCAGAATAGTACTTGGCAGTGAAAGTTTGACCTTTTTGTATGAAATGAGTAAGTATCATTCCTCGTGAATCCCAAAAGCAACAAGCATGACTTTGTCAGCCGAAGGAGACAGCTTAAACCTTTAAGGAGGTGGGGAACCAGCTCGTATCCACTGCTTTGACTGAGCTTTTGTCTCAGGTTCGGAATAATGAACCCACATCTCATCGCCAGTGATAACGCGGTTCAAAAACTTATCTCCTTCACGATTAAAACGACTTAAATGTTCTTTTGCATTGGTTACTCTGGTTGCCTTTTGATCTGCTGACAGCTGTCTAGGCACCAACCTGGCACTTACCTTGCTCATGCCTAGGTGTTCGTGTAAAATCTTGTGTGCCGATGCCTTACCAACGCTAAACTTGTTGGCTACCTCCTCCAAAGTTACTCGACGATTTTTGTTGACAAAACTTTATCATTTGCTACCATTGTTAGGGTCACCGCCTCAGCTAGCCGCCCAGTCCTAGGCCTGTCACAAACACTTGTTCTGCCTTCACGAAACTGAGAAACCCAGTTGTAGAAGGTTGAACGTGATACACATTTATCAGAAAATTTTTGTTAAGCCTCTGAAAGATGTGGCAGGGCTTTTCACCTTCTGCAACCAGCAACTTTATTACACAGCGTTGTTCCTCTAAAAAAAGTCCATGATAGACGAAACACCTATCATATATCAGAGGGAAAAATACTGTGTATACACAACTATTTTTGAAAATAAATTGACCACGTTAATGGCGAATGAATGTAGTTTTCACCAATATATAATGTGTGTATATAGCTGCACGTGGAAAGAGAGGAGCATGAAAAGTCCGGATATTTTCTGACCGTCCCTCGTATAACTGAAAATGCACAAGAGATAATAAAGGCTATATAGTCAGTCGGACTGACCGGGAAACAAGTGGATTTCCCTTAAGGCTTCCCGATCAGGCAGCAAATGTCAAAATCCTTACCGATCGGGAAGTTTATTGGCCTTCTTTTTACATAATTCAGGAAAAATGGCCGGTGCATAATAGTTTTCAACCCATTTCAATATGAATATCACACTTTAAAAGAAAAGGTACATCAAGTCATTTTCTTTTAAAATGTCTAAAATTAAAATAATCTGAACGTGAATTTTAGTGAAGTTTTACGAATCTACTAAGAAGTAGCTGCTTCCCGTTTTAGAAACACTCTTTCCTGATCAGGCATCTAGCGAAATATTCACCATTAAATGTTTCTCGTTCGGGAAGTTTTATTCTCTATTTAAGCGCGTTCTATTCTGGAAATTTTTCGTGTTGATTGAGATTGCTTGGGACAACACCAACAAACATAGTTATCTGTGCAACAAATCAACATGTGAGTCATGGCGTGAATGTTTTGGAGTCTGATGTGTAAAATATGCAGTTATTATCTTAAAAACCATTTATTACAGAGTCTTCATATTTCACATACTAATTGGTCATAACTATAGTAGATGACATCTATTGATTTTAGGGTCACTGTGTCAAAGGTCAAGGTCACAGGGGCTTAAATGTCAAAATGGTTTCCGCACAATATCTTGTTCACTAAGAAAAGATCACGAACAGGATCAAGTGATCCTGACATTATTTTCATGTTATATGTTACTAAAATAAATTGTGTTTTGCTAGATTTAAATTGTAAATATTCAGAATGTTAAAAATTGATGATTTGCAAATAAACCAAACTATTTTGAAATAAAATTAACAAATAACAAAACAAATACAAAAATATTTGGATCAAAATGAGGACCAATTTTAGGACGAGGAACAATATTTGGATCAACTGTGCCATACCTGTATCTTGCAAAATTAACAATAAATTGCTTATATTAAATTTCGTAAACGTACTATTGCAAGTCCATTATTATCAAATTAATATTAGATATTGAAACTACGAGGATAAACAATGAAGAATATTAGTATTTAGATATAATCCTGATCTTGATCCCGATCCTTAAATCTTTGTAAACACGGGGCCAAGATTTCCAAAATGATTAGTCATATGTAGTAGATGACTCCTACTGATTTTGTGGTCACTAGTTCAAAGGTCAAGGACACAGGGGTCTTAAATGTCAGAATGGTTTAAGCTCATTATCTTGAAAACTATCTTTCACAAAGTCATTATATTTCACATATTAATTGGTCGTTACTAGTAGATGGTCCCTATCGATAGTGGGGTCTTTAAATCAAAGGCAAAGGTCTCAGGGGCCTCAAATATGTTTGTTATCCGTCGTTAGACCACATTGTCTTCGCTGATTATCTTAAAAACTATTCACCACAGTCTTCATATTTCACATATTGATTAATCATAACTAGTAGATGACCCTTTTTGATTTTGGGGTCACCAGATCAAAGGTCAAGGTCACAGGGGCTTAAATGTCAAAATGGTTTCCGCACAATATCTTGAAAAGTATTTATCGCAAAGTTTTCTTTTTTCATGTAATGATTATTATAATATCATTGCTACGATTCTTTGTTGAAACTACATTTGATTTTTTTCTCTCGTGAAGGGTAAAACAATTTGCTATTAAATAATGTATCTCGCACATTAGAACAATATTTGTCAATTCCAAAATGATTGTACTATAAAATATTCAAAAAGACGTTTGTTGCCTGATCGGGAAGCCTTGAAGGGGAATCCCCTTGTTTCCCGATCAGGCAGTATGCCCGACAGATAGTTGCTTCTTTAGTAGGAAAAAGTGATTATAGATATTTATTTATGACTTTATGATTTTTTGGTGTATTTTTTTTTACTAAAATCAAGCAGGTTGAATAAATTGTCAACATTTGATAAAATATCGTTTCCCACCACCTTTTCTCAATAACCAGCGCAGTAATAATGAAAGTTGCCACATTCCTTTTAACAGCTCATAAGGGACTGCTGATTAGTGAAGCTAACTGTCATGTTTCACAATTAATTGCAGCATTGGAAGCGGTTCGTGACCAAGTCAAATATGTTCATTTTTAAACATTTTAATTCCGCTTTATCCGGTGAATATACCAACATATACGCGTTGTTTAAAAATGTTCCTTTTTCCTTCGATTATAGCGAGATCTTGAATGCACGGGTCGTCAGTTTCGTTTCGAATGCGAAAATATCATTTCAAAAATAAATGAAGGAAATAATTCCGAACATTTTCTTGTTGATTTGACTGAAGTTATTAGAAAATTGCTAAGTTAAGATTCGAGACTGCGCATCAGATACCACTGAAAAGAAGTAATAAATATAATATGAAGAATTTCGACTACCTTACCCTTTGAATTTCGCCAACATTATCTTATTAACATGTCTTAAAAGCCTTACCAGATATCATGCCGATGATAAAAAACAGAACGAGCAAGGCAAGGTTCACGCTTGTAGCAGCTATAGATTAGTTCATGTTTGTTGTTACTGGTAACAGCTTTTCATATGTAATTTTTGCTCTAAACCTTAGAGCATATTCCATGAGCGGCAGGAAAAGTATATGTAAGTATTTATTATTACACATGCGGGCTCCAATTACACTATTTCTTCTTAAAACTTTCATGAAAAGCTAATGAATGCAATAATACCAAATAAATACATTGATACTTCCTAATTTTAGCTAGAAATTGCAGGAACCTGATCAGACAGAAACATTACTAAATGTAATAACCTCAGTTATACATATTATCCCTGGAATTTCCTGTAATAAAAAATGAAGCAATTAATTCAGTCTAAGAAATGGGTTGAAAAACATAAAAGAAATGACCTAACAGGATGTTATTGTATATATTGAGAGTGAATTTGACCCTTTGAAAAAAACTTTATATACGATGTATTGAAATAAGTTACGGAAGAAATATTTTCAAATTCGTCATATACTGATTTGAGAATCCAATAGAATAGCACATACATAATCCATATGACTTCGTCACTTCATAGAGAGCAAACAAGCAAAAGGTTTGTTCCTATGACGCTGTAAAAAAGTGTTACAAAAAATATATGTACTCTTGCATCGGGGAAAATAGAAAATGGAGTGTTACTGGTAATGGCGGCTTGCCCTATGTTTCTTTGCAGTTATTTGATAGACAAAGATCGAAATTAACACACATTCTAATCCATCCCGATCTCGGACATT